CCCCCCTCCATCTTTCGACAGCCCGCTTGTCCGTGAAGACGGATTCGCGGTTTCTTGGATAGCTGCAAAGTCCCCCTCACCATTGGCTGCATTGGCTCCGCCACAGCCACCCTCTCGCTGTGACCTGTAATCAGCCGGCTACATCCAACCGCGCTGACACAGCCTCGAACCACATCCTGCGCCAAACAGTCGCCCGCTGCTCCAGGGCGCCCCCAAAGCCCACAGCAAGGGTGTGTTGAGCATCGGCAAAGAACCACGCAGCTTTGGTTTCATCACGCCCCCTCCCTCGCTAGCCCTACAGCCTCTCACGCTCGCTACCCCTGTTCCTCCCGCTAAACGACATCGTCCTCACCGGCGACTCGTGGGCATTCTTGTAAGTGCCTTGCTTCCTTGCTGCCTTGTCACTATGACCCACCCTCTCCGCTGCCTCGGCGGACCTGGTCGCTGCCTCTGTTATATATCACCGGCTTGTCTGATACTCACCCAACCGCTGCGTCCCCTACCCGCCATGAAAGAGCATCGTTCGCTAACCGAAGCATAGTTCTCTCGCTTACTTCTTTGAGCCTTAACCTTTAATAAGCCTTCGCAATGGCTGGCCCTGGTGGTGGTCCTCCTCGACGGAGGTAAGTCATGCCTGCTGCTTCCGTCTCCTTCCTGCCCCTGAGATTTCGGCGCTAACCCCTTTTATTGTAGTCACACCAAGTCCCGCAAGGGATGTGAGACCTGGTATGTTGGAGGATGGTCATGGTCTGCTTCTGCTATGAATCCGCGCACACCTACTAACCCCTATCTTTTAGTAAACGCCGACACATCCGCTGTGATGAAACCTTCCCCCAATGGTATGTTAATGACTTTGATGCATTGGTCGAAACGACTGTTGCCTTCATCCTAGCTGACAGCCCACCTAGTCGCAACTGCACCAAGCACAAGATCCGGTGCCCCTACAATGACATCCCCGTCTCTGATGAGCGGTCAACCTCGCCTGACCGGCCGGATCTCATGTGGACTCCTGAGATCGAGACAACCATCGAGCAATGGCAGCGGACGGGAATCTTCCCGTTCCCTCAGATGAACATCTACCCGGCTCCCAATCCGCAGGTTCTCACAATCGAGGACCTGCGTCTCATCCACCACGTGGCGTCCATCAGCCATCAGATGCTTCGCATCGACGCTGACGGCTTTACCCTGTGGACTCGTCAGATCCCTACGCTCATCAGAATTGGTGCCACCAACAGCTATGTCATGCATGCCCTGCTTGCCTTCTCGGCCATGCACATCGCCTTCTTGACCGACTGCCCTCTGGTCGGCAACATGGCGTATGAGCACAGGGGTGTCGCTCTCAAGGGGCTTCAGGAGGCCATCGGTACCTTCTCGAGGGAGACGTCGGACGCTGTTCTCGCCGCCTCGCTTGTGCTCTCATGGCAGGCTACAGACTGGTACGTCAATATTTCCTGCACGTTGCCGCCAACGCTTGCGGCCGGCGAGCTGCATGCGACAGCGACGCACATGACCCAAATTGGAAATTTGCCACGCACAGAAGCTAACTAGCCATGCACAGGCGGAGCTGGACTCAACTCATGCAGGGGACTCGTTCGGTAAGTGCTTGTCGCACACGGAGGGGCCCTTGCTAGGAGCCGTTGCTGGCTGGGCTGGGCATGGCGTCCATGTCGTGCCACGCATGCCGTGCGATTACTAACGTAAAATCTTCTGCCAATAGGTCATGGAGGCTATGGATCCTTGGAAGCACGAGTCCCAGTTCGGTGACTTCATTGCCGAGAGCAGCACCTTTCCCACGGCGCCTCCGTCGCCGACGCCGGACCACAAGCCCAGCCAGCCCCACCAGGAGGACATTGATGCTTTCCAGCGGACGCTCCAGCAGCTGCAGAAGCTCGAGGCTCACCTCAAGCACAATCACGAGGACCACAAGTCGGTTGCGCAGCTGATCACCTTCCTCAAGGGCGCTCGCAAGGTCAGCCCGGCCTTCAACGTCGCCTCGCAGTTCGAGCGCCTCAGGGATCTCAGGACCTGGCTCTTCTGGCTGCCCGTCGAGTTTCTGCAGCAGACCAACGGGTCGGCCAGTGCCCTGCTCATCATCGCACACTACTACACGGTGGCCCTCGTCATGGAGCGCCTCTTCCCCGAGATCGGCGCTGCCTACTTTGGCAGTCTGTCGCTGGGCCCTGTCGAGGAGATTGCGCGGCGCCTGCTCTCGTTCAACGTGTCGGGCAACCTGGAGGGCGTGTCGTCGCCTCTGCCGCTGATGGAGTTCCCCATCGAGACGGTCAGCGAGTTCCGCTCGCGCATGGGGTGGGCTCATCCTGTCCGCACGCCCTCGTTTCCGCAGTTCGACCCGCCCAACTTCTACATGCACGAGAACTCGGGCATGGCCATGCCTCCGGTCACGACGGCGGCGTATGGGCCGTATGGCGACACGCCGGCCTTCAGCTACAGCACCGAGGACTTGTCCGTCATCACCCATGACGGCCTCCCACCCGTGTCGGCGCCGGCCAGTGCCGTCAGCCCGCTGCAGCTGTCGTCGCCCTACGCCAACCACCAGTACCTCAACATCCCCAGTCCCTCGTACGGTGGCTACAGCCCGGCGTCGAGCAGCTTCGGCGGCGACTTCAACGACTTTGGCGAGTTTGGCGAAACCTCGTCCATCGGCTACAGTGACCACGAGGACTTTGCGTCGTATGACATGGGCCTCGCTGCCGGCACCCCGATGGGTGGTTCGAGCAGCTTTGGAGTCGGGTTCGTTCCTTCCGCCCAGCCCCTGTGGATCTAGACCTCCCGAGACCCTCCACACCCCATCCACCTCCGCCGAAGCACGCCGGTGCCGGCCGTTGTCCGCCTTCGCCGACGAACGCCCGAACCGCGACGGAGCTTCAGCCACGCGGACTTTCCGAGCTCTGATGATTGACTTTGGCCCCCCAGGACTCCGACTTGGTTGAGCACCACTCCAACTTTCCCGCCTCCTGAAGATGCGCTGTCGTTGCTGTCTTCCTCGCTCCCCGCCCCGGCTCCGTCTCCTTTTCTGAATCCCGAGCAGTTCGCCTCTCTGCCTGCTCCCGAGTCGCCTGTGCCCCGTCTCTCGGTGCCCTCGCACCGTCAGAACCCATCCATCTCGTCTGTCGCCTCGGCGCCTCCGTCCATGATGGACTTTGCTCCCTCCTTCTCACCCGCGCCCAACCAGAGGCAGGCATAGCGCGCACCCTCGACTTTCGCTTTACTTTGGCTTCGCTTTTCCTTGATCCACCCGCTTCCTGCTATTTGGCTCGCGCAACTCGCTTGGTGTTTTCTGGCACTTCCTTTTCCGGCTCTCGATGGACTCGACGGCCGCCTGTTCTCGGCTTGGTCCATACCACTACGCGACCACCCACCGCCCATTTAATACCGCCTTGGACAACAGACGCAAATGTATACCACGCTCCCTACAACCCGATCGATCTCGGCATCACGACCCTTCACACACCCACGACTGCCCGGCGCAACCACGAACAGCCGCATCCAACTTGACGACACTCCTTAGTACGAAAGCAATCGCCGCTGCGCACACAGCCGCACCGCGTTGCATAATTCCCACAAGACGCTCCTTTGTCACCACAACCAGAGATACCCAACATAGACATTCCTTTTTCTTATCTGGCCACGGATGGACACATACAGGTTATTACCCAACATAGACGCTCCTTTGACGACCTTGACGACCACGGCACCGCGCCATGTCGCACCGCCTTAATATCCACACCACACTCCTTACGCAAGCACAACTGGTTTTGCACTTTTACGACGATCATGATACCCAACCTGCATAGCGACTGTTGTTTTTGTTTTTTGTTGTTGTTTTACTACGGGGGCAATATCTCTAACATTTGTATTTTTGGATTCCTACTTGGGGAGTATTAAAATAAGTTTTCGGTAATGGATGGAGGGATATTTTCGTCATCTGGACGAATGCATTGGGCGGCGTTAATATTTCCATATTCGAGTATTGTTCACTACCATAATAACCGCAATCTGGAAGCTTTTTCGCGATCACTTCTGTCTCTCTGTTTATCTAGTGTGGATTTGTGATGGACAACGCAAGAGCGTGACTGATGAGCTTCTTTGGACTCGGCCAGTTCCTGGGTCGGACCCTTGGTTAGCCATCTCTTGTCGATACAATAATGTTGGTTATGGTTGCCTGAATGTACACACTGAGGGGATCTCCGGTAAGGTCCACAGGATACGCCTTGTCGGTGTCCCCGCTAGTGGCCTGTATATGTAAACAGAAGTTATCTCTACCTTGGTCTGAACATTTAGTCTTGGTCCATGTCGCCAAAGTCTCGCGAGCTCCTTGTATGCATTAGTAGGTCTTGCCCTGAAGCGTGACAGAAAAAAAAAAAAGGAGTGTATTGCGAGTCCGTCCGTCTGTACCCCAGCTCCTGGAAGCCTGGCAGTGTTGGGGAGGAAGGCAGTGTACATGATTCACCACCAGGCAGATGTATGAACCCTCCACCCCAGGCAAAGTCACCACCGGCTTGGCGATGCTCACGACGTGGAACTAACGCGCCACCTGGGTGTACGCGGGGGGGAAGGGACTCTGGACCTACCCTTATTGCCCGAAACAGTCATATTCATCCCTAGGGCCGGGTTGGCCATGAGGATTATGGGCGGGGTGTGTGTGTGGTGTGGTGGGCTGTGGGGACACGTGTGAATGCCAATTCGTGGCTCTGTCTGCTGTATTCATGCATGGCACCTCGCAGTCTGCTGCTGTCGCTGACGCCGGCCCTGCTGGCGGCTGGAGCATGCGTCCGTCTCCTCCTTCCCCCCCTGGCACCGATGTCGCGTCTGCTGGCTGGTGCAACGTTTTGGTGCGCCTATCATTGTCCAACCAGCCGAACCTGACTCCTCCTTGCTTGCCCCATTGTGTAACCCGGCGCCGTAAGCGCCGGAGAGCCGCCGCCGCCGCCGCCACGTGGTCTCTCGCCTGACGGGCAGAGACAAAAAAAAAAGGAAGGGTTTAAAGAAAAGGGGTGAGTTTGCGCGCGCACCCCCCCCCTCTCTCCCTTCTACGAAATGGGCAATATTTTTCCCTTGCGTATACTGGGGGGCTGCTGCTGCTGCCTGCTTACGGTTGGGCGTTGTCCTGGAGGAGATCTCTGTTCCTTGCTCGCGCGTGCGGCCCAGGATGGCTTGCTGGGATTTGCTGGGTTGCTTGATCCGCAAGAAAACAGCTTTCGATACGCACAGGATGGGACGCAAAAGTCGACGCCGCGTGGCCGCTTGGTCAGTGGGAGCCCTCGCCCCGTCATAACCCCACGGCGGGAGACTGGTGCCCCAACACACAGAAATATCCTGCCGCCCGGTTAGCTCAATCGGTAGAGCGTGAGACTCTTATCGCAGGGCATCTCAAGGTTGCGGGTTCGACCCCCGCATCGGGCTCAATTCCCGGTGTTGCCTTTCGAGGCACCTCCTCTTTTTGATCTTTTGCCCCGTCTTTCTTCATTCTCCCTTTTCAGATGACCACTCAGCCAAAAAGCTCGACTGAGTGTCGGTGGTGTGGATGGCAAGTTTATATTCAGGTTGTGTCGTTTTTATATACAGTTCGACCACAGGATCCCCACCCCCATCAGTAGCTGGCGCACTCCCTCCTCCGAAACATGATCTCGCCCTCGGGGTTCGCGCCCTTGGACATCATGACGACGAAGCCCTTTGGCCTCTGCTCGCCGTCCTTGAGCTTCATGTCGTAGTGGAGCAAAAAGTAGGCGAGCAGCATCTTGATCTCGGTGCCGGCGAAGAAGCGTCCCGGGCACGAGTGCTTTCCGGCGCCAAAGTTCATGTTTGTGCTCTCGATGGACGTGAACTGCCACCGGTTCCGGTCCTCGTCGGACCGCTGCCGCATCTTGTAGAAGCGCAACGCGTCGAACGTCTCGGGCGACTCGTAGAAGCGCGGGTCCTGCGACATGCCCGCCTGCGGCGCCAGCAGCTTGGTCCCCGCCGGCAGGTGCGTGCCGTCCGAGAGGTCGATGGGCTTGACCACCTTGCGGATGAAGCCGGCTGTTGGTGGTTCGTTGTTAGTTGGACGTCTCTCTCTCTCTCTCTCTCTCTCTCTCTCTCTCTCTCTCTCTCTCTTAAAGACGGTGGATAAACTGTACTCACTGATATTGCCCCTTAACCGCTGCACCTCCTTCATGAAGCTGTCCATCTTCTTGAGATTCATGATGCTGTCCCGCTTGGACCAGCCGCCCTTTGCAAATACCTCCTCCACCTCCCTCCTCAGCTCGGCCTGCACCTCGGGCTTGTCGGCCAGGTCGTAGACGCCCTCGACCAGCAGGTTGCTGCTGCTGTGGATGCTGGCGGCGCACAGCACCAGCTGCAGCATGACCTGCGCGTCCACGTCGGCCCGGTCCCGCTCGGGGAGGGCCTCGAGCAGCCACTGGATCAGGTCGTCGGGCCGCTCGGCGCCGGGCGTGTCGAGGCCGCGCAGGCGCTGCTCGATGACGGGCCGCATCAGGCGCTTGGCCGCAGCCATGTGGCGCCGGATCTTTGCCAGGTCCGAGACGAGGTACTGGCCCAGCGGGCGCAGCCAGGACGGCATGAGCTGCAGCTTGACGACGGCCGTGAAGACGTGCACGCAGAAGCCGACGCTAGCCTCGGCCCATCCCTCGTCGCGCGCCACCTCGGGGCCGACAAAGGCACGGCCGCCCACGCGCACGATGCTGCGGACGGCAAAGGGGCTGACCTTGACAGCCGTCCAGTCGTCGCACGGGGGGAACTCGGCCGCCACCAGATGGTCGATATCCTCCTTCATCCGCGGCACCATCCGGGCCACGTTCTGCGTCAGCTTGGTCCTGATGAGGGCCGACATCAGATTCGTGTTTTTGCCCAGGTGGAAGTGCGTGTATTTGCCCATCATGGCCTGCGGCTCCCTGTCAGCATGGCTTGTCTTAGTTGGAAGCAACGTCGGGATTTCTTACCTCTGCCACTGCCGCTGTCGAGCTCAGGGCCTCCTCCGGCAGCCCCTTAATCTCGTCCAGGAGGCTGGGCGGGATGATCACTTGGACGCCCTCTGTCGCCTTGATTTGGTAGACTTTTCCGTAGAACTGTTGAGGCATCAGCATTTATGCCCCAACACAGGTCACACACATACAATATCCCACACTGACCTTGTTGTAGCTGTCTGTTACCAGTGTCTCGGCGTCAAACATCCACTTGAACAACGATGCCTTGTAGAACGGCACGGCGACCGTCCTCCGCTTGGCATCCCGGTACGACTGGAAGAAGTACGCCACCAGCAGCACACAGCCGAGGGCGACGTAAAGCTCAAGACGCCTCGGCCGCAAATCATTGTCGCCGCCGTCGGGCAGGTCGAGCCTCGGCTCCGTTGGGGAGGTGAAGATGCTGTACCTTGCCAAGAAGGCCGATGTGTGGTTGGCCATTTTGGATGGGCGATGTTGCCGGGAGGACAAAAAAAAAAAAAAGAGTCGGAGAATGACGTCTCTGTCGGATCAGTGGCAGAGGACAAAAGACACACCAGAGCACGGGCTCATGGATATGTCGGTGAGAGTGCCCAGTTTTCACCGTGTCGTTATACAGCCACAGCCAGTGAACCTGCCGTTTCACGGGCAAGCTGAGGGCACAGAACCGACTCTAACAGGGGCGTCTTCTCAGATCGCTCGCTGCCTTGACCCAGTTCGCTGCTTTCTACCCGATGGATGACCGAGACAGCTCGTTCAGAACAAATATTAAGGATGGTGACGATAGACTCGTCACAGACGGCCAAGATATTAAGTTGCGCGTAGGCAAAAAAAAAAAAAAAGTGAGATAAACCAGATGCACGGGAGGAGCTGCCCAGCAACAAAACCACTACGAGCAGAGAAGCGAAAGACTCAGACCAGCTGGCGGAGGAGACGGGTGACGGGCAAGATGGGGTTTGCTTGACAAGAATTTCCACAGGAGCAAAGAAGAAAATAAAGAAGAGAAAAAAAAAGGGGAGGATAGGAAACACCAACGCAGATCTGGGCGGAGAAAGGCCAGGGACGTCGGAACCGTCGCGGGACCTGGCGGGTTCGTTTGTGGATTTGGCGGAATAGGGGAGAGGAGGGGAGAGGGAGGGCGCGCGCGCGGACAGGGATGGGGAAACATCCGGGGAGGGCGGGCCCCAAGTGACAACCAGATGAGATCGCTGGGGCGCTTTCAATGCCGCCTTTTTGTGGTTTGTATGAAGAGGGCCGGCCACCAAACATGGCCACCATCATCCATCCTCATCGCCATCGCCATCCAGTCAACATCTACGGTCTGGGCCAAGCGGGCGCGACATGGGACCGGGCAGGGAACGGCCACGGCGGCTGCGAATGCGACTGCGACGATGGCGATGGCCGTTCCTGCACGGTAGCGTGCCTCATCGGCTCTGGACGGGCAGGGGCATGGCTGGATAGGAGAGAGTGAGAGAGTCTGGTGGGCGGTCGTTGAGATGGGCCTCGGGCTGGGATGGAACAAAAGCAGCAGCCAGCGTGCCGCCTCTCCCTGCCGGCAGCACTCGTCGGCGCCAACGGAAATCTTGCAACGTCCCTCCGGCACGGCTGAAACTGGGCTACAAAAAAAAACTACAAAAAAAGAGGGGGACTTTGCTGAAAGCTTGGCGTTGGGGAGGAGAAAAGCCAAGTTCGGCGGCTGCTGTCGACGCCGACCCCCTGGGTCATTCCGACTGCGGGCTGGTGCTCCTTCCCCCAACGGAGCAGACAGCGGAACCAGAATGGAAAAGGGGGGGGGGTGGAGACCCACACACCTGCCGGGCTCCCTTCCTCGTCCACTCTTTTCGCTTAGAGCATCCGAACTTTTCTTGATACGTTCGAGTGTCAAGCTTCCGCTGTTTGCATGCTCTCTGGTTTCGTTTACCTGTCCAATGGAAGATGACACGCCCGTGTTTTGTCGACGATCCTTCTGGCCAGGTCAGCGACCAATAAAAGAAGAGAAAATGAGAGGATCGTCACCCACGTCACAGGCAGGATTTTCGCCCATCTAGATCTCGGACTGGGGCCCGTTTACTTGCGACGTTTACTTGCCACGGCATTCCCCCCTCCTCTCGGTCGGGAACTGCCTGTCCCGCAATTTGGACGATGGACCGTCAGGCCCGCCCATCATCCGTCTTGGATCATCCGTCGTGGATCTCTCACTTGCCCCCTCCCCTCTCGTCTTTTTTTGGGCCTGCGACAGCACACTACCAAAAGAAAAAGATTGTGTCACATAGTGATGGAAATAAGCATACCAGAGACGGCACAGGGCTGTTCATCCACAAGAGTCGTTTGTCTTGCCACGGAGCGGGGAGACGTGGTTCCAGCGCGCTGGTTGCCGCGATCCGATCGCGCTGTCATTTTTTTTTTTTTTGCTTCTCAATTACCCCTGTGTCCCCAAAACAATCAGCCCAAGTCCCCAAACAAGTCAAGTCGCAGCCCAAATTATCTTCGGGTCCATTCCATTGACCGTTTCCGACCCGAAGTCCATGCTTGCTCAATCGGAACCGTCTTGATTGGCCACATGGCCCGAAAGCGGAATTCGCTACACCGGCTCGCTCGCCCGGCTTCGGTCTGTGCCACTATCGCCATCTTTCTTTTTTTTTTTTTTTTTTTCTCCCACAGCCCGCGCCCCCTTCAGATCAAACGAATGCGGGTCCACCTCTCCGCTCTCCTCTTTTTCTCGGGCCGCGCCGTAGTGCTGCTTTTGTGCTTTGGTGCTCCCGTCGGGCACAAGGTCCGCACTTGCCAACATCAATATAAGAAAATAAGTGACAGGCCAAAGCGGGCGGGTACCTTTCTGCCTGCAAGCCACGCCGTCAGCCAACCTGTGCCTCTTCCCGGACGAACAAAGCACAAACCCTGCCTTGTTTCCTTCGCATTCTTGCTCATAGTCAGTATCAATCCACTCACACTGCGCTACACCTAGGTCAGCAGCTCCTGCGCCTCCAACGGGCAATATTGTCTTACGCGTGGACCTACCCAAGGAATCAACCTGCATATTCGCTTCAGCCTTTTCCCTTCCCACCCCTCCTGTTACATATGCAACGTCCATATGTGTGCATATAGCCTCCTTCGCAATATTGGTGCGTGCGGAGGCTGGCGCCGGCAGATGCGGTTGTTGCCCTTTTCTCACTGCCACACTTATTATTATTTTTTTGTTACTGCGCTAGCATGCCAAACTGCTTTCTATTGCGTATGCCCGACCCTGTTTAGAACCAGTAGTATTCTAGGGGGCTCCACGGCAGGGAACAGAAAAAAAACAAGAATAGAAAGAAACAGAAGTCGGGCTGAACTGTCAGTACTCGGGCAACCGGGCTTTTTTTCATCGGTGGTCCGTATCCGACGGCACGGGTAGGACACCCGTGACAACCAAGGAAAGCTGGCAGCAGTTTCTTTCCCATCAGCAACCACCGGCCAGAAAGATGCGCCACGTCGTGCAACACACCCCATCGCCTGCTGCTCACGCCGACGTCGCACAACATTGTTAGGCCTGCCTATCGTGGCGTCAAACACTCCCCGTTCGTCTTGTGCTCAACCTCCCCCCCAATTTCTGCCTCTCTGCTACATACACACATAACACGACCTCACCGGCTTCGTCCAGCTTCATTACGGGATTCTCGATTCCAGAGGAGGAGGCGTCACAACCAAGGAAGGTTGGCAGCCCAACGGCGCACCGGTGTGCGCGCGCCATCCCTTTGATTGGCTGCCTTGCCTCCTCTTCTTTGCGTCCCATCTCCCTGCGCGCGCAAGTGTAACTGTGTCAACCGATCAACCGGCCGGCCCAACTCCCTGCGGACAGAGTCGGATCATCCTCACACACCACTTTTACAAGCAGATATAAAAAAAATTGAATATTACTATTACACGAAACGTATAGGTTACCACGTCTCGGAAATCCTAGAGGCGAGTGCCAGCACCACCCCTACCTCAGGCCGGATACTCATCCATCCCGCGCGTCTCGCGCGGCCCTGAACTGGAAAAGAGCGTCCTCACCGGCTTCGTGAGGGTGGTGTCACGCGCCCGCGTAACCAGCCGCGTCGCCCGGCCCAAATTTTCGCGTGAAGGATGCGAAATGTCCTGATCCCACTCGCCCTCCCCCTCCCCCCCCCCCCCATCTCCTTATCTTCCCGCCACTGCCCCGTTATTCGTCCACCCGCATGCCGGTGCCGAGGACGTGGCATCGGCTTGGATGGACGCTGAGGCTCGGGCCCCATCCAGGAATTAGCCAACACGTGTGCCAGCAAACGTGTGGGAGAGAAGCGGAGGGAGTGAAAGGGTGTGCGTGCGTGCGGGTGAGAGAGGCGGGATGGCTGAATTTCGGTAACCATGTTGCCTTCGCGAGATGCCGTGTACCCGACCCGTTTCTCCCAGCCGTTGCTTCTCGTTATTGCATATTCGGGCGGGCTGACTGTCTGGGACGCGTCCTCGGACCCGACAAGTGCGACCGCCATGCATGGGTTAGTAGCCAACCAGGGTTCAGTAAAGGCAAAACACAGTCTGTTGGTACAGGGTGTAGGTAGTTATGTGCTTGAAAAGAGGCAATGTTGTACATGAATCAACCAGCAAACGTTGTCGCGAGTACAGAGAATACGTGTCCAACCTGGGAGGGGTATCTCGGCCAAAGGAATTCGCTGAATATACACATCTTTTCTCTTCCGCCAAACTTTTCTTCTCTAACAAGCCACAAAGGAACAAAACTCTGGAGTGTTGTCAAACCGGCTCAAATAGCAGGGGTATCGAGACCGAGAATGGGGTATGGGTAGTTCAAACGATTCAAGGAGGAAAAGGGATAACAAGGAATCGAGAATGCCAAAACAGCTGATTCAGGATAAAAGGACATTGCCAAAAAATACATGGCGAAGCAGAAGATACAAAAGAGGGGAACGCAGAGTGAAGACTGCGGCGCGGGTGAAGACTGCGACGCGGGTGTATTCGGCTGTTAGATGTATTCCAAGACTTCAGCTGATGCTTCCTGGGCGGCGGGTTACCTTCACCCATTGTGTATCTTCTTCCTGGCTCCTCGCAGAGGGATTCGGGTTCACGGCCGAGTTCACCCTGCTCTCCCCTCTGTTGGTGTCACCCTGCCGCTTCAGGTTGAGGTCGAGGCTATCCACCGACGTGAGGGGTCCGTCGAGAGCGCTGGGGGGCAGCCTGGCCAGTTCGTCGTGATCCCAGGAGTGGAGCACATCGTTTTGCCACCAGGCAAAGTCTTTGACCCTGAGCCCGGTTGTGAGCGAGAAGGTGTTGAGTAGGCGCCGCACCTCGAGCGGCGTCGTGCGAAGCTGGTGCAAAATCCAGTTATTGATCATCTGGGTCTTGTCCTCATGCTCCGTTATCAGACTTTCGATGGCGACTTCCTTCTTGCATCTTTGAACTTCCTGCGCCGCCTCAGGGCTCGCTCTCTCGCGCAACCGGTCCATGGCATCTTCCAGAGCCGTCCTGGCCGATTTACAGTCGAGCACGTGCGCTGGATCCGAGAGCAAGATATTGAAAATTGGGTGTGCGAGTGAGCGTTTGCCTGGTTGCTGCGGACCAGAAGGCTCGAGGTCGATGTCCATGTGAAGATGGTCTGTGGGTTTACCTAGTGACTTGCGGATGATGTAGTCTTGAGACAGGCTCGGATGCTTGTGCATCACCCCATGTTTTATGCAAAGCGACCACAGGCGCTCTACCTCAACCGTTGTCGATTCTACCGACTCGCGAGCCTCTTTCTCAGAGTCGGGATAGCTTTTTAGAAATTCCAGATCGTCGTCGTCGATCTCGATACTGTGCTTCTGAAGAAACCGGTCGATCTCGGCAATGTTGGCCAGGTCGGATTTCAGCTCGTCCAGCTCCTCCTCGGTGACGGGGACAATCTCAAAGTTACGCCTCCTGTCGATTTTGCGGCGCGTCTCAATGTCCTGGAGTATCGCGTCTCGCTGATCCATAATATCCTCGTGTATTTCTATCGCCTCGTTCTTGTCGGCCACGGCACTCAACAGCTTCGTGTATGTGGGGTGGAGGTCCACAGGGCGATCGGGCGGGATACCGAGGAGCGAGGTTCGAGAGAGAGGTCGGTCTTCATTTCTGTCAAAAGGCGTTGGATTGGCGCTGGCGCTGCCGCCGCCGCCGTCAGATTCGCTGCCCAGAGCCGAGTCTTGGTAGATATGCCTAAAGAAAGCATCCTCCGTCTGTTCAGAAGCCTGCTCTTCCATTTCCAGATCGTCCTCAAGTTGATACAGCGTGGCCTCGATTGTGCCGTTTCTGGTTCGTAGGTCTTGTATCGTCTTAAACTGTGCTATGACCACGTCCTCGCCGAGGCCACTGCTGGCCCAGGAGCTATAGACACCTTTGCGAAGTGAGTTCATGAACGTGTTGTCTGCCTCGGCGAGTTCTTTGCGCATGGACCTCAGGGACTTTCTCTGAGTGATTATGTCCTTTCGCAACCGTCGTATCGTTCTGCGATGATCCACAAGTTTATACCATAGCCTCTGCGCGGCAACATCGTTATCATCGTGGTATCTCTCCTCGCCGTTGCTGCGACCGTGGCGGCTGCCGGGATTGCCGTCGTCGATTTTGGCTGACACCTTGGATACCATCGAATGGCTGCTCGGCGCGGGTTTGACGAAGGCGCGAGCTTGACTGGGCGACGTCTTTGGGTTGGGTAGAGCAAGGCCATGGTCGCTATGGACGGAAAAGCCAACGGATCGATTGCGGATGTGGGAGGAGGAGCAGGATGACGATGACGTGGTCATGGACGAGGCGCTGGATCGCGCAAGAGAGGAAAATACAGGTCGCTGGGGAAATTGACCTCGATATGAGTAGATGCCTTCGGATGGGTGAACCGCAACCGACGCGGATAGAGACATGATGGTTTTTGTGTCGTTTGCCAACACCGAACCACTCAGATGGGCACCAGCCTAAAAATGAACAAGGCAAGAGGGCCTTCGCCCGGAGTGGGAGGGAGATGTGCCTAGGTAAAGCGACGAGAGGGCGCAGGTGAGGGATGCATCTCGACGTCGGGAACGCTAGCCTAGGTTGGATGCAGACCCGACTGCAGCACACAGCGAGGCGAGAACCAGCCTATGTGTCCGACCAGTGGTTGGATGAAAATGCTTGTTGAGCTGGGGGCTCGTTCGTCAGCATAGGCTAGGCTTCACCTGGCTGGAACCGACTCGTAGGCTGGCCTTCGGATAGTGCAAAACATAGGTAGGTGGATAGATTACCCGGGTTGGGAGGACAGCGCTCGAGTCAAAGTCCCGGAAAGCAAATCAAGAACACGAGGGTTCCTGTGCGCTGCTCCGGGCGTGGGCGTGGGCGTAGGCTGTGGTGGGATGCTTGTGCATGTTGAGCATCAGATTGATTCACCAAAGAATCGAGGTTGGCGTCGCACATGGCCCCTATGACAGGGAGGGGATCAGGGGGGTGCTTTCTGTGGGGGTGGGGATGATATTCATGTTCGTGCGTGCTCCAGTCCGCTCGCCCTACCCGATTTCAGTGGAGGTCGACCCCTGTCTGTAGGCCGTTCTGGAAGGAGCCAGCCTAAGAATCAGGGCCAGACACGAAGGACCACGGCGAGGATCAACGATGTGGAACTTCAATCAAATCCCAGCACTAAGCGTCGGCACCAGCCGTCACAACCACTGTCCGTCCATCCAGGCACTGATTTCGGGTTTGCAAGCGCCATCCTCACAAATTGTCAACGGAAAGCTACAGCACAATCAGCAACCAACCTAAACCTCCATTCAGAGTCTCACCCCTCCCTCCCTCCCTCCCTTCCACCTCGCTCGCTATCCCAAGCCTAGCGAAGCCACCAGAGCACCAGGCCAGAGGACAAAGACAGGTCAATTGACAGAGGGCGGAATCGAGATTGCACCAAGACACCAGCATCCTCTTCTGCCGACAACGGTTACCTGCAGCTGGGACCCACCACTTTCAACCCCTCGCAACCGTTTGCGCTTCGACCCGTCTGACCGCTGCTCGAGGATTTTACGCCAGGCTGTCTTTGGTCATTAGCAGACTCGTGGTTTTGCGCCAAAGAAAGAATATCTTCGGATTGTCAAGATACCACCCCCAAGTGCCTGGTGCCCGCTCTACGCTATCAAATGGCTCCAGCAATCTCGCAATCTCGCCCACCCAACAGAGGCCATCGCGATAGATGCTGCGGGCCTTTTTGCCGACCTCCGTCGACAGCGCGCATCCGGAATGGAGTCTCTGGCGCCGGCTGCGGGGCCCGGCTGCAGCTCAACTCGCAGGTCAAGGATGCCACCACCACATATACTGGCTGCTAATAACGGCGAGACACGTCTGAGTGGCATGGCTGGCTGCCGCCGCTGGGTCTGCTGACCCCGCCTCACCCACCCACCATGTCCCGCGCTGCATGCGCCATCACTGGCCAGTTAAAGACCCATGGCGTTGAAGACCCATGGCGAACCATGGGGCCTGCTCGTCCGCCCACTCGCGAGCCATTATGCACAAAGGCCGCAAGAACGGAAAAGGCTTCCATAGCAGAACGCCAGCCCGACGAAGCCCGACCTCGGTGCCGCAAACCGCAGCCCGCTGGTGTCTCTGGCCCTTGCTCTCTTGCCCTTGCTCTCTTGCCCTTGCTCTGGTCCTGTCAACCATCTCCTGGTCGCTGTCGCGCCAAAGCAGATAGGCTCCGTTTTTGCGTGGCTAGCTGCAAGTGCTGTCGCTTCCACCGTCCTCCTCACACGCCATCCCCCATTTTTCCAGCCTAACGAGAGCCTGCCCAGGCCATCGACAGTTCGACCCTCCTCCATCCTGCTTCCGCCACGCCGCGCGACATCTCCTGCACCCCTCTTTTTCGTTCCACGTCTCCTCGAGCGCCATGCTCTAGGATGCGTGAGAGACCCCCATTCGCTTGCAAGCCTGCCACATACCCGGCATGTTCGAAAGCGAATGAAGAGCCTTCGCAAAAATATCACATGTGTGCTGTCGCCGTCCAATTACGTACTTAACCTACGTGCGAAATTACCCCAGGCCCGACTTTCCTGTTTGATCCCAAGCTGGATGTGCCGTTGCGTTGCTTCTACACCAAGCTACACGCAGAGCCTCAGACCGGTGTTGATCTTAAAAAAGGGGTGACCCGCCCTCCGAGCCACTTCCGGCGCTGACTTGCGAAATACGGAGCATCCTTGGTGTCTCTTCTTGCCCCCGCCGCTTTCTTCTACCTGACCAGGGCCCCTCCGTGAAGCTTCCAGCGCAAACTAGCACCACCAATTCCTCCATATCACGACGCCCACCGCTTCGAACCGGTCCCTGGTGCTTTGCTAAGAGCATTCGAATTCCTCGCAGCACCCGAACATGTCTCCGCCGCCCTGCGCGTCGCTACCATGAGCTCTTCTCGCAGGAACAAGCCCCCAAAGGCCTCGAAGTCTTCCAGGACACCCAACCCGGAGGAGAAACAATGGACAGACTGGGCATGGGTGGAGGAGTATGGCTGTAGCTACAGATGTGCCTACAATGAACATGGTATTATATCTCTTCCTCTCCTCCCTTCACCGTCATGGGTTAACCGCAGGAACCCCTTGCTAATTCAATGAATGTGCAACTGCAGGCGAGGTCATCGCTACCGAATACGACCCCCCATACTACACCCCGGACAACGTCCCCAGAAAGTCTGGTGACCCCGTGGATGGGCTCACCGACGGCCTAGGCGAGACCAGCCTAGTTGACCAGAGCAACCCCGTGGATCCGGATGAACACTACACACTCGGCCAGTGTACGTTTTACCCGCGGAAATAATGAGGCACCAGCAGTATTTCCTATGGGCCAGGACTAACACCTGTCTCGACTTTTAGCCAAGGGGAAGAGCATAGCAATATCTCCCGAAGCGCAAGACGCACCCGGTCAAACGCCCGACGAACCATACACTGACGGGTCAACCACTGAACCGACGCAAGATGGCGAAGATCCTTTCTACGATTCAATGGGTCTCTCAACCGAGGGTGAGAATGTGACATCCCCCCTTCAACGTAGCGGAGAGTGCCCCTCATGGCTAACGATCCACAGGCGGAGAACACGTTGAAGGGGTCTCTGCAGAGACAGATGGAAGCTATGACACTCATGGCGTGTACCCACAGGCCGGGGGTGGCGCTACCGATGACGGTGAGAATGCTACCAGCATCATTTGGTTGGCGCAGTCGTACTGACATGATGTGGGAACCACCCACAGCAGATTACGATCCTCAGATGGCCGCCGCGATACATGACAGCAGGAAAGATCTCTCTCGGCGACCAAAGCCAGGGCAGTCATCCACTAGTCAGAACCTTGGCCATCCGTACGAATACGCGCCCCAAAGCCCTAGCTATGCGGCACCAGATAGCTATCCTACCTACCAGGGAGAGACACAGGGTTTGTGCCCATGTTTCCCAAACAAATACTATCGTGGACAGAAGTGTGCAGTTATTAACATTACGGCGCAGCCTATGCCGAACCGGGTTCGGCCTACGCAGCGGAAGGTGACGACCCCGACGAGGCCTACATAGGCGAGGCCGCCAACACGGTCCCGGAAATGCCCAAGACGATCACCGGGACATTGGGAGACTATGAATCAATGGATCCTCGTATGCAACCCCTCATCACCTGATGATATTCTCCACCTATGCAAATCTGACAAGTCATGGGAACACAGGGTTCAGGCTCATGACTTCTCAGCACTGGCAGCCGGGAACTGTATGCTATCCTCATCCTTCACATATTACTGTCTATCGCTCCAAGCTAGGCTTGCCTGCTAATTCTCTCGTAGGTCTTCAAAATTCTTTGGGCTGAACCGCAGGGCCAGTCGAAGGCGAAAAACGCCGGCACTTTCTATACCGAACGACACACGGTTGATAATGGCGCAGGAAAGCTGTTTCACACCAAACTTCGCCGCTTCATCATTTACGGGACCGGGGAGGGCCAGAGCACTTGCGTGTCCGTACATCTATTCCCTTTTCACATCCTCTTCCCGACCTCGTCGGTATCCAATGCAGCCCTGCATCCTCTCTTATAAATCCTACCCGCTGTCTGGTTTGGGCCAAGATTGCGCTGACTGATATTCTCTTCTCTCGCAGGCCCATCTTCACGTACAACAATCAAGGCTGCAAGAAAAACGGTGTTAAACCCGAAAATCATGGCATCGTGCACGACTATAATCATACTCCCAAAATGCTCCCTGGCGAGCCCACACTCGGATTCGACCCTGCCGCGATCGTGCTAACGGAAGGAACGGAGAAAATCTCCAGGGATTCCCGTGTCAACTACTCACAGCTCATGACGGTCCAGCATAACGTGAAGATATTCATCATCGGCTACACCGACCATGACTCTTTCCAGGTCGTACGGGCTGCCGTCGACGATTGCTGGAGGAGGCTCTCAACAAGTTTTGGCGGAGCACCCAAGAAGTCCAAGCGACCTCCCCGGCGCTAGCACTTTTCCCGTCTCTCCCCTACCACGTTTGCCGGTATTTCCTGTCTCGTGGGGATCATGTCATGCTAGGACCGCAACTCTGCTGTCCAAGCCTGTGGTCTCGGGACAGGACATTGCCAGGCGCAATGCGAGAAATACGTTTATTCAACGGCTCCCGATCAAGTCGCTGCCAGTCTTGATGTCCGGATTCAACATCCGCGGGAGGTCATATGGATGGAATCAGCACCGAGCTGGCCCAATCGGCCCATAAACCCATGGTGACGAGACTGCCGCACGCCGAGACCTAAGAGTGCCAGCGTTCCTCAGTGCTGCCTCTGTCCATGATAAGGACAACGTTTGTGTCTTGGCAGACCAGGCGGTCTAAACTGCATCAGTTGCCTGCCTGGCTCGGAATCTTTGTGCACCTGGGCGGGCATGGCTTTATGTTATTTCAGGGTTTTTTGTTTCCACCCGTCTCCTTTGCTTATATGTTGCGTGTTTTCTTGATGCTGGCGGCCTCCAAGATTAGTCTTGGTGATGAAAGGCCTCGTCGTGTTTTTGCTTCATCTCCTTTACTACTTGATGTCACCTTTCCTCCTCCTCGATTTTGCTGGTTTCGCCTAGGATTTGCTGGTTTCCTATTGCCTTATTTACTGTCGGTTGGAAAGGAAGCAGAAGATGAATCAGATTGGCAGGAATGAAGGGGAGAACAACAGATGCTCTTTTGGTAGTTTGTTGCAGGCAGATGAATGTGCAGTTTTTATTTCGGCACTCGCGTGGAATTGAGTTTGGGAATGCCGCCCGATCTCGTGCTGTCGCCGACATGGAAGGTCGAAGATGCACAAGCGGGTTCCGTCGGCTCGTGCCGTCCACTTTGGGTTCGGTGTCTCTAAAGGTGGGCCGCGCTTCGGCAGCATTATCACACACTTATCACGACCCCGTCCGCCGTCACAGAACTGCCCTCCCGAGCGTGGGGCTCCTCTGGCGCGAGGTGGCGAATCGGGGCTGGCCAGCCAACAAAAAAAAATATTTGCGCGCCGGGTCGAGCCCTCCTTTTTTTTTTTTCCAACTATGCGCATGCACTCGCGATAGGACCATGCGTAACACATCACATGTATGCAGCTCCGTCCCCCGCAGCATGCGTCCACTTTTTTTCTCCCTTCTGATCTGTTTTTCTTTTGTTTTGTTTTTCCGGCCAGGCGACCATGAAGGATGAATCGCAGGACGCTGTGTTACCGAAGCGGAGCGGGAGGCCGTGGGGGCGAGGGTTTTGGATGCGCGCATGCTACGAGGGCCCCGTATGACGGTTGTCCTGCGGCGGCCGTCGATGTTTGCACTGGAGGCTGGCGTGTGTACGACGACAACCTAGGTAATGGCTGTGGTGGTGGTGGGAGTGCGGGGCGTTTTGGTATTAGGCCCGGCTACGCCGCCATCACGATGCACACTTCCGAGGGTGTTGGTGGATGGGATGTGGGGAGCAAGAATAGAAGTGAAGCAATGGTAAAATGAAAGTGAAAGCAACACAAAAAAAAAAAATCATAACGAAGAGAGGTGCTTTTTGATAGTTTACGTGCGTATTTTATCATTTAAATTATTGCGACCAGCGCACGCTCCACCACCGCCATTGTGCAAATAGTTTTTTCAATCAAGTTCGAAAAAATAAAGCAACAAAAAAACAAAACAAAAAAGTGCAAAGGTAGCCACCCCCCACGACAGCTCAGCTCCAACCAGGGACCCCACCTCAGCCGAGCATTGGCAGCCGTCATTGGATCACGTTTTGGACTTCGTGGGCGATTTTGGCCGGCGCCTCATTGCTCATTGCTCCGCTAGGGCGTTCCTCCCTTGCCTCACTGCTTCGCGCCAGCTCTCGTCCGGCCCGTGCTCGCCCAGCGACGACCACGACCAGCCTCAATCGTTTGTCGAATCGTTTGTCGAATCGTTTGTCGCGGCGCAGACAGGGCGTGATCCCGTGCTTTCCGTGGGCAGCTCCTCAAGGCTCTTAAGGCTCTTATCCGTGTCTATATCAGAGAACAAGGCTTTATTTGCCCGCTGCTCGGCTCCCCTCCCTCGTCAATCTCAGCAAACCCAGCCTGCTACGGTTTCTCCTGTCTCTCTGGCAACTTGTCAATTAGCCTCTTCCGTGTCAAATTACATGAACTGAGCCGAGCGCGTCTTCTCAACCTGCTGGCCGACTCTGCCTCGCTTGTTGACGGCCAGCCAGCCAGAGTTTCGCCCCGCCCACTTGCGCCTACCCACGCACATCCCTGCACCCCAGCGAGACGGTACCGGTGGGGAACGCTGCCCGAAACTTTGGTGCCCCTCCCAGCTTGAGCTTCTGTCCCTCTGCGGCCACACCACAACCCTACGGGCCCTTGTCGGCTGCCCATCGAACGGCATTGTCTTGTGACTTGCTGGCACTATGCCTGAGACAACGACCTCACAGGATCCCGTCTCAATCGCGGACGGGCAGCCGGACGCGGTCGAGGCAGACGAGCAGACTCAAGAGGCCAAGACAGCAATCTCATCAATGCCGAAGAGCGAAGATCGCCCCGAAGATGACCAGGGGTCTGCCGAGGGCACGCTCAACGAGGGCACGCTCAACGAGAGCAACAATCCCCATGATGCCGGCGACGCTGATGTCTCCCCTCAGGGCGAAACTGTGTCCGGGGCTGTGTCCGCGGCCCTCCTCTCGCCACGCCCCCGCGAGGTCAGATGGCCGCTTGGGCAGGTGCCAGTCGAGATTTTCCAGTTGATATGCGGCTATCTGCCCCGCGAGTCGGTCCAGGTCCTGCGTCTGGTCTGCTCCGAGTTCGACCACATGGTTTCAGCCCACTACTTCCGCAGCGTCGTCGCCCCGTTCCGCGCCTCGCTCTACGGTTCTCCTGATAACCACAGCGGCGCTCTGGTGGCTGGCGAGTTCGGCCCCGGCGGCCGCGCCGAGCTCCGCACCGTGTTCCACCTGTTTGGCGAGCACATACGCTCCTTCGCCCTCGCCCTCGAGCTCAAGGAGACGGACCTGGCCTTCCCCCCACCCAAACTGACCCAGGAGGTCGTCAAAACGTCCTGGGGCTTGTATCGGTGGCCGCTCAAGCACTACCAGCGCTACACCAACCTGGAAGCTATCGAAGACCAGGCAGACGAGACAGCCTTCATGACCCGTTCCTTCTCCAAGCTCACCGAGCTCACCGAACTGGGACTCTCTTGCGACGCTGGCCTGGGCTTCCTCCAGGGGCCCAATCTCAATAAGTACGCGGCCAGGACCATGCCTCCCGTCTTTCACAGCGCGCGGTCCATGCCGTCGCGCCCGAATGACCTATCAGACAATGACCCGTCAGACAATGACCTGCCAGACGAGAACCTGTCAGACGAGGACCGAACGTTGGACCACGGCAAGTCGGTGCGCTACACGAACTTGAAGCGCATGATGCTCAATGCTGGCTTCGTCCCGGACGAGATTCCTGGCGCCATCAACCTCCTTTTGTGGTGCGAAGGCAAGGATCCAAAGTGGGTCAACAGGGACGATTGCGACGGCGACGGCGACGGCACCGGCCTCGGCTATGGTTCTATGTCCAGGACCCGCGAGTTCCGGCCCGCCCGCAACCACAGCACCGACCTCAGCGGGGCGAAGAAGAAGGGGTGCCGAGCACACCCGCTGGAGCCGCTGCAGTTGACGGCGGCGCAGAAGGAGATGCTCCTGGAGATGTCGTGGGCGCATGATGCACTGGTCCAGTCGTACGTCATCTCCGTCACGGACAACCCGCACGCGTTTAAAAACGTCACGACAGTCAACATGGCGCGCATCCCCGCCAGCCTGCTTCGTACCATCAGCAGGCCGAGCTTCTGGGAGAGCCTCGCCGCGGTCGACAAGTTCTCGCTCGGCGTGATTCCTGACTGGCGCGTGGTCAAGAAGGACAATGGGGTGATTGCAGACTATCTTTTGCAGCCCACCGACTCGGTTACTCCGGCATACGAGCTTCTGGCCAACTGCATTGCGCCCCGTCGGCAAATCACAAAGCTTCACTTCGAGTGGATCTGCGGCGGCGAGCTAGGCAACGGCGCCGGTCAGCGAAACCGCTACATCTTGCCGGCGCCCTTCCTTGCGGCGGCCCTCCAGATGGCGGAGCCCAGGGTCGTGTCGAGGGACCGCGGGCTCGTCCTGTCGTTGCCCTTCGTCCGGGAGCTGTCCCTCAAAAACTGCTACTTCACTCCACACGTGCTGCTGCACGTCGTTCGAACTTTGTCGGCCAGGTCCCTGGAGAAGCTGAAGCTGGAGGCTGTCTCCATCACCGGCCCGCCCCAAACCGATATCCTGCCCAGCTACCTAGCCTTGAGCGGCGACCGGAGCAGCGCGTGGCCGTGGCCGCTCTGCTGCTCGACCGCCGCGCCTGGCCGGGCCTTCTTGTTTGCTGGCGTGCAGGCGGCGGCGCCCCTACAAGCTCAGAACATGCTCGGTATACACGCGCAGTGGATGGCCCAGAACAACATGATCCCGCCCGCATTAATCCAGGCCAACGGTGCGCAGTGGCTGGCACAGCAAGTGGCCGGCGGCCCCATGACCCAACCCATCATCTGGCCAGTCAACAACGTGGCCAGCATTGTGCACCAGCCCGTAGGTCCGGCTCCGCCACTGCCTGACGAGGTCTGGCAGGGTCCGCTGAAGAGCCCCTGGATCCCGATCCCCCGTCTGCTCTCGTGGGCGCACATTCTCAACGAGATCACGCCGGACCAGACCCTCCTAGAGCGGTATGAAGGGTCTCCCATCCAAGATGGGGACGGCGAGGCCTTCCAAAACCTGGCACAAAAGTTGAAGCAGTTCGTGCCGAGCCCTGCCGCGGCGGACAAGGGCCGTCTCCAGAATATCGAGTTCAAGTCGTGCGGCTACGTCCTTGCCGACGCACTCACCATCAACAACCACGACATCATCCCTTCCACGCAGCGCATGGTTGCCATGCCCACAAACATGATGGAGACGCTGCGCAATCTGGAAGGCTACATGCTCCGGTCGAATTACCCCCTCCTGGGCAAGATTATGGACGACTTTGACGACGCCGAGGAGTTCATCATGCGCCACGCCTTTGACATGTATTTTGGCTGGAAGGGCGTCTATAGCCCCGAGGTGGCGCAAGCCGCGCATGAGGACGGCTTCCTAGAGCAGGGCCGGGGCCGCTTCACGGGCGGGTGGAGGAGGGGGAAGCCCCTGCCCGAGGTGCAGTCGCTAGTCGCCGCCGCCACTATCGGCACCGATACGACGGCACCGTCCACCGACGGTTCCGTACCGAACAACTAGTGGCTGTTAGCGAGGGGGTGTCGCTGCTGGTCCTCGCTCGACGACCAGGGGAAGCTGCGGGCGCACGAGGCGGCCGAGCGTCTCCAGTCGACGCACCCGCCGACGCAGCGGGCACTCGCCCGTCTAGCGGCCTCTCGGGCGGCCGCGGCCGGCGACAGCGCCTTCAGTGACTGGGACATCATCAGCCCCTGGGGCAGTTACGGCTGGGACGAAAAGCCGGCCCTGAAACCCCATGAGGAACAGATCCACATCGAGGACGTGACCATCTTCGACGGCGTCCCGCGGTCCTCGCCAGAGCTCTACAATTTCCTCCGCTACAGGTTTGACCCGTCCAAGGAGGCGCGGTCCGTGATCCCGTGGTATTGGGGAAGGCATGCCGGCGAACTGGAGCGCGCCGTGTTCTCCGGAAACTGGCCCATGACCATCGGGCCCAGACCGGGTGACTTTCAGGAGGTTTAACGAGGACGGCAGCAGAACCGACTACTATGAGCGCAACGAATAGGTCCGTCGTCATCCCACCCGTGAACATTGGGCAGACGCCTGTGAGCTCAGAGAGGCAGAATGCGAGCTGATAAAGGCCATACTGGCTGCCCTGGAGAAGCTGCCGGGTCCCGCCGACCTGCCCATGGCCGCCGCTGCCGAGATGGCCTATGCGGAGGCGCTCCAGCGGCGATGCGCTGCCGTTCCTGCGAGCAGCAGGCCCGGTCGTGATGGTGCTGCTTCTGGCTACGGGGAGGGACTCGCCCAGCCCAGTGAAGGCGACAGCAGTAGCAGCAGTAGCGTCGACATCAGCCAATGCGAGACCGTCATGGCGTCCTTGAAGCTGGACGACTACATCCTGTCGCTGGCGGCCTGGTCGCAGCCCTACGTGCGCGATCCGTTCCTCTTTGGCGAAGATGGAAATCCGTGAACTTGAGCATGCGAGTTCCTCATCACCGTCTGTTTCATTTTTCACTTCTTGTTGGAGCCCCGTTTGCTTCTCCTTTTTTTGTCTCCTTGTGTCAGGACTACCATGTTTCTTTCTTTTTTTCTTTTGTTCTTTTGCCCACTGTTTTCGATGCCGAGAACACGGATGGCTTCGAACTGAAGCTGCAGCAGATTATTACCGGAAATGCGCCATCTGAAAAGGACAGAAAACGAGAGATGACTTGTTGATCCAAATTGTCCCAGGGAGCGCGGCCTTGTCGACGGTCGCGGATGCCACCACCATAACCACCGACACGGCTCGAGGAATAGCAACAACAACAACAACAACAACAACAACAACAAAAAGAAGAAGAAAAAAGACTGTGTAGGGTTAGGCGATCCTGCGCAGCGGACTTGTCCGGATGTCTGGCATGGGATTCCCTGTCCCACACGCACCATGTTTGAACACCGACCATCACGGCAAGATGTAAACGGAAGAGGGGGGAGAACAATATCTGTCCCCCACCCCCTTACTGCCAGCCGGCTTTGTTTCTACGAGTTATACGATTGGTTTCTTTTCTTGTCTTGTCTAGACATTTCCCATCACTCCTGCATCCTTGTCTCTTCCGAAGCCTCCTACTGTGGATGAGCATAAGCCACAACTCTCAAGACAGGTAGAAGGGGCGGAGACATGAGGATCGACGGGGAGGCCATATCATAACCGGGGTGGCGAGAATGGCAAAAAAAAGAAGGATGTGCTGGAATGAGAGAGAATTTTGTTGGCGTTGCGGCGGCTGTCTTGTGATCGGATCTGTCTAGTGGGCATTTATCATGATTCCTGGTCGGGCAGCTCCTAGATATAGGCCACTAGGCAGTGCCCACCTAGGTACGTAGAGACATCTTGTCGATGACTTCTAGTCTTGACCATGATGGAAACACATACAATGCAATCACTGTCACAGGCGGATGTCGCAGAGACAAAAATGGATCTTCTCATATCTCCATCCTGACAAGGCGAGGCTGCTTGACCAAACAAGCTCTGGGAGGGATTGAAAGATTCTTTTTTTTGTTCCCGAATGCCATGCTCAAGATACAACACCGGTGGACCGTTTAAAATGGAGAAAGAAACGCGAAATAGGTAGGTGAAGCAATCCCATGAGTAAACCGCGCCACGCCGCATTTCCCTTTCCCTTCACCCCATAAAAGAGCGAGAATGGCGGGCGGGCGTCGGCCCAGGTGGTAGGCTATTTTCGTGCTCTACCAGCCAGCCGGCGGCCCAACCAACCATGCCAAAACACAGTCCCGTCCCGTCTTTGGTTGCGCCCTACATCCTCGGCCCCTTCGTTCAGTATGCTATCAAAGGAAAAAAAACCGTCAACAAAAAAGGAGACGCTGCTTTGCTGCCTTTAGGCGGCGGTGATGGCCTGGCGGATGCGGGCACCACGCTGCCTCGAGCTGAGGTGCTGGTTGCTGGTGACGGCGTCAGACTTCTCGACAGCCTCCTCGGCCTCGGTCAGGATGAGCTCAATGTGGCAGGGCGACGACATGTAGGGGTTGATCTAGAGGTTGAGGAGTGTGCGGGTTAGCGTCCAGAACTGGGCTATGTGGGAGCAAGGGAGGATAAAAACAGTGATAAAAACAGGGATAAAAACATACGCGACCGTGGGCGCGGTACGTCCGCCTGCGCTGCTTGGGAGCCTGGTTGACCTGGATGTGCTTGACGACGAGGTTGCCGGTGTCGAGGCCCTTGGAGTCGGCGTTGGACTCGGCGTTCTTGAGGAGGCCGAGTAGGAACTCGGCCGACTTGGTGGGCCAGCGGGCCTTGGAGACGCCGAACTGCTTGCCCTGGGCGCAGCGGCCGGTGCTGCCGGCGTAGCGGCGCATGGGCACGGCCTCCTTCTTCTCCTGCACGTTCTCGAGGAACTTGACGGCGCGGTGCAGCTTCCAGCCGTTGATGGCCTGGGCCGTCTCGCGCGTGTTCTTGAAGGACACGCGCAGGTACGACCCGCGGGCGCGGGCCGACTTTGCCGACTCGATCTCGTTAGCTCCGTAGCGGGCCTGTCATGCGCGCGCCGCGGCGGCGAGTTGTTAGCCCGCTGTTCTCAAGTTCTTTTCTGCGGCGGTGGCTCCGCTGAGGGGGTTTTGTGGGCGCGCAATCGAAGCCAAAGCCGTCGTCGTCGTCGTTCGCGGGACTCGTGTCTTCGTCGGTCGGCTCATTCCAACGCTCCCCTCGGTGCTGCAGTTCACCGAATCTTCCTACACACCCCTCTCCTCTTCCCATGTCCCTGCATGGGACCATGTTGGCGCCTGTCTCGGCGTGCTGGCTCCCCGTCCAAAACGCGACCAGCCGACGAAGAAGACGAGTCCCGAGAAATCGATGACGGCGACCGAGGATGCTAAGCTCGACGGAGAAATCGACGGGAAGAGCGTCCCAGTGCTCGTACGTACCATCTTTGCTGCTGTGGTTAATGACGACGGAAGGGGTTCGAGGAGGGCGATTTTTGGTGGGTTTGCAGGTGGTTTGCACTTGTCAACTTTTCCGCACAAGAGAGGGAAGCGTCCGCCCGCCTTTGGGTCCTGTGGAGCCTCCCACTAGGGTTGGCCAGCCCTAGAAATTCGACACCCTGGTCCGAGCGCCCAAATGAGGAGCAGAGAAGACAAGACTAGACTAGCAAATCGACAAAATTCCAGGTTTTCAGAACATACAAACTTTACTTTGATCTGGACTGATTGATCTCCTACTGTTTTCGCAATAGTGTTTCCCGTAGTTTGATTGGCTGCTTCCCTCAAGATACAGAACTTTGGGTGGTGGGGTCTTTGTCCAGCTCGGAGCGGAATTATGGTGCAGCCGACGGCGACAGCTCCCGGCCCATCAGCCCCACTCAAAAAGAAAAAAAGTTCAGTTGGGGAAGGGAGGTGGAGGAGGACTGGACCTGCAGGCTCCGCTTTTGCTTCATAAAAATTTTTGAAGCTTCGGGGCGGACAAGAGCTTCTTTGCTAAATCTCGAAGGAACATTTTTTTCCTCGCGCTCTTGCTTTTCTGAACGCGAATTGCTCCGCGCAGAAGGCCCCAACCACCATCCCGATTCCTAATTCCTGATCTGCACGAGCGGCAGCAGCTGTCAGTCGGACCCAAATAATCACACCCCTCACAAAAAAACACAATGGGTTTCACTCCGAGAGGCCGAGGCGCACCCGGTGGTCGCGGCGGCGGCTTCCGCGGCGGTGGTGATCGAGGCGGTCGCGGCGGCGGCTTCCGTGGCGGCGGCGATCGCGGTGGTCGCGGCGGCGGCCGTGGTGGTGGTGGTGGCTTCCGCGGCGGTGACCGCGGCGGCAGGGGAGGTTAGTCCGTCCTCGTTCCAACGTGTCGCAAGCATGAGTTGCTGATACCTATCCCTTCTTTTTCAGGTGGTCGCGGTGGACGCGGTGCTCCCAGGGGCGGCGGCCGTGGGGGTCGCGGTGGTGCCGGCGCTGGTGGAAGGAAGGTCGTGATTGTAAGCAACAGCCTCCCCCTCATCCCGTCTCCTCCCCGCCGGCCACGTTGTTGCGAAGCCTCACCGTCTTTGCCTCGTCGCGAGTCTTGGGCGCCAGCAGCTCCCGGCAGGGCAAGCAACCGTTTCTGTCACACGACACAACCCAGCTAACCGCGTCTTGACCCTCGCTCGCAGGAGCCCCATCGCCACCAGGGCGTCTTCGTCGCCAGGGGCGGCAAGGAGGACCTGCTGGCCACCATCAACCTAACGCCCGGCGACTCGGTGTACGGCGAGAAGCGCATCGCGGTGGAGAACAGCGCCAGGGGCGACGACGACGCGCCGGCGACCAAGACCGAGTACCGCGTCTGGAACCCGTTCCGCAGCAAGCTGGCGGCCGGCATCCTGGGTGGCATGGACAACATCTTTATGAAGCCGGGCGCCAAGGTGCTGTACCTGGGCGCCGCCTCGGGCACGTCGGTGTCGCACGTGGCCGACCTGGTGGGCCCCACGGGCAACGTCTACGCCGTCGAGTTCAGCCACCGCTCGGGCCGCGACCTCATCAACATGGCCACCAAGCGCACAAACGTCATCCCCATCGTCGAGGACGCCCGCCACCCGCTCAAGTACCGCATGGTCGTGCCCATGGTCGACTGCATCTTCGCCGACGTCGCCCAGCCCGACCAGGCCCGCATCGTCGCCCTCAACGCCAGCCTGTTCCTCAAGAAGGGCGGCGGCACCTGCATCTCGGTCAAGGCCAACTGTATCGACTCGACCGCCCCGGCCGAGGAGGTGTTTGCCAGCGAGGTGGAGAAGCTGAGGGCCGAGAAGTTCTTCCCCAAGGAGCAGCTTACCCTAGGTAAGAGGCAATCTTGCCATTCCCCATTGCGCCTTTCCTGACCTGACCTGTCCTGTCCCTATGCTCGGGGCGGCTCGCTGACTGATTTTCACCGCGGCAGAACCCTACGAGCGTGACCACGCCATGGTTACCGCTGTGTACCAGCAGAAGGATTTTATCCAATGAGCGCGGGTTCCCCTGGGAGGGGGCGCCAAGTAAAAAAAAAAAAAAAAAAAAAAGAAAATGAAAAAACCCCCAAAGCAAAATCTTCCTGGCATATTGCGCATCGCTCTGTTCATATATCCTCCTTTCTCCACGGGTTCCCTTTGGTGTGGTGTTTCGACGGGTTTTGGCTGGCTTCGCGATCTTTGTCCCTCTTGTTCTACTTTCTGTTCCAATTTGTGTCTGTTTTCTTCGGTTTTTTTTTTCCAAACCAAGGGGAAGGCGTCCACGGCGTTAATCATATGACATGCCTACTTTGAACATCAAAATCTCTTCCTTGTCTGGATATTGCCATGTCTGGAGATGACTTTTCGAACGCATCCACTAGTATCATGTGTTGTTGACGCATCTCTGTCAACTTTAAAACGTCACGTCGGGGTGACGTTGACAGATGGATTTGTCCAAACACCCCCCCATCAGCGTCTCCAAAATTCGCACATCAGTTGCTGATTAGACATCGCTCCGTAACGCTGTAATGGATATATATTTCAGAGCAGGCTAGCTCTAAAATAAGACGCCTCCAAACTCCGCTGATTATGCTCCTCTTTTTCGCCTTGTGCCCGCCAACCACAGCAAAAGACAGCAACATTGGCTCGCCATGCCGTCTCAGCAACAGCAGGGACGGGGTTGTTCCCTGTTGGTAGAGATTGATGAAGAAAGAGAGATGAGGAGAAAAAGACACACAACACCTCCTCACTTCAAAGACATCATTCACCAGCCCCTTGGTCCTCGTCACTCTCAACTGACACAGCTTTGGCTTTACCCTTGGCAGCCCCATCGCTTTCGGGGGCGGTGGCACTGTCAGCAGCCCCGGACTGCTCGTCACCGGGCCCCGATGCAGGTGTGCTGCCACCAAACAACTGTGCCGATCCACCCCAGACCGGCAGCGCACTTGAAGAGGTCGGAATAGAGCCCGGATCGTGCTCGGGCGCGGCAGTGTCCGACGACGGGTCTTGGTCTCGGATAGGTTCCAGTCCCTCGCCTCCCCATCCTTCGTCCTCGTCGTCTTCTGTAGACGTGGTGGAGGAGGAGGAGGGACTGCCGCTCGACATGTCATCAAGCAGGGTATCTCTGCTAGAGGGCGCAGCGGCTGTTTCGCCAGGGACATTGCCAGAGGGCTGCGACGCCTGGTCACTACCGCTCGGCTGGGTCGCAGTCTGGCTCTGCCCTGACCCGCTTGATTCACCTCCTAGAGTAGGCAGATCGGAGCGCTTAAGTGGTAGGAGCGTCCATCCAGGTGGTATCGACACACCTTCGGGGAGATCAGGGCTGCCCGAAGGGATGGCGGCGGTGTTGGGGGCCGCAACGTGCCGTGTGACTGGCGCTGACGGTTGGAGACGCTGTAGTGTCAGAGCGACGTTTGGAGGGGTTTGAGGCATCTGAGGGGGTTGAGGCCCGGCCGGTTGGTGCGGCACAGCAGCCGCGGGCACCGGGGCGGGCACCGGGGCGGGCACCGGGACGGGTTGTGGTTGGTCCTGGGCAACTGGTTGGAGAGGGATATGTAGGCTAACAGGGAACATGGGCTGTGCCGCCACCAGGTGTTGGGCATGACGGATACGGATATTCTCAATATGTTGGATAAGTAGTCGCAGTGTTTGGGCTTCGTTCTCGACAAGGCGGAGAGAGATGGTTTCGTTTTGAATGTTGCGCTCGATGGCTCGGAGCTGTGCCTGTATCACCGTCATGTTTGCGGATGGCGCAGTGTGGTTGGGAAGCACTCCTGGCACGGCGGGCTGGGGTTGGTCTGCTGGTTGGGCGTTCTGGGGGTGTGCGCCAGGGGCGGGGGCGGCGTCGCGTGGCACGCCCATAATCTGGGCCATGTCTTGGAAATCCTCTGGGGCGCCCTGGGCAAACCCGAGCCTGATGGGCCCGAAGTTGAACATCCTCACATTGGGGCGGCCCGGCTGCGGCTGCTGCCGTTGCTGGTTGTTCGGCGCTCCCGGTGCGGCAGGCCCTGCTCCCATGGCGTTGGGGGCGGCACCACCACCGCCCGGCCGCGGCACGGCACCATTCCTGTTCCCGTCGGCCGCGGCCCCGTCCATGACTACCGATCTTCGGCATGTGGGACACACCTGTTGGCGCTCGAGCCAGCTCTTCAGGCAGCCAAAGTGCAGGATGTGGCCGCACGGCAGCTTCTTTGGGCGGATGCGCTCGACCTGGGAATCGTCATCTGGGTTCCAGGGACGCATCTCCTCTCTGCAGATGATGCACGTGTTCTCTCGGGCGAGATCCTCCTCGGTGGCATCGGGGTATCGGCTCAGGTCCCTGACAGCCTGGCGATATCGCAAGAGCGCCCCCAGCCGCTTGATGAAAGACCTTGTGGTCATGAAGAGATCCCTCATGATGTGAAGCGGAAGACCAGAGAAGATGGCAAGGACCAAGAAGAAGACGGAGTACCAGGCAAGCTTGACGAAGTCTGGGCGGGGTGGCTAGATGTTAGTCCAGTGTCCTGCGTCATGCCGAATGGCCGACAGAGAGCAGGGGGGGCGGGGGGCGCACGGCGGGTGCATACCTGCGACGAGGTCCAGGAGCAGTATCCAATGACCCTTGGACTCCCAGCCAGGAACCTCGATATCCATCTCTTCAACATCGTTCTCGTCGGGCAAGGGCTCACCCTTCTCGGCCTCGGTGGCCTCGCCGCTCTCGCGGCGGCGCAACATGTTGGCCCTCTGTTCCCGGATGTGGCGTCGGCGGGCCTCGAGGCCGCGCTGCATCTGGGCCTTGAGCACGCGCTGCTCGTGGAGCGAGATGACGTAGCGGAGAGAGGTCTGGGTGGACGAAACGAGGAGGATGGCGAACTCGAACAGGAACATGACCATCATGCCGAACTCGGCGGCGCGCACGACAGAGCGGATGGCGTAGAGGCACATGGTGAAGTTGTAAAAGATGCTCAGGGTGAGCGAGCCGATCAGGCGGGCGTGGAAGAGGCGGGGGTTGGCCGGGGGCTGCTGTTCCAGGATCTCGACCCTGCTGTCGCCGATCCAGGCCCAGACCTTTCCGGTCAGGAGGGCGGTAAACATGATCATGGAGAATGCGCCGAGGTCGTCCTTGAAGAGGGTCATGGCCAAGCAGGTCTCGGTGACGGCGATCCAGCCCTTGTCGTACAGCTGCTCGACCTCGACGGGACGGAGCTGGCCGAAGCACAGTCGCTGGAGGCCATAGACGAAGCTGGTGTAGACGAGGAGGAGCACGTTGACGACCATCTACGGGGCCGGGGCCGGGAGGGTTAGTTACGGGGCACGGAGACGGGGGTGGGCGAGCAGTAGTAGTGGTACCATTATGGAGAGGTTGCTCTGCGACAGGTGGACCATGGCCGAGTAGAAGTTAGCCCGCTGGTGGAAGGCCGAGGCCACCACTGCGCCGGCGAGGACCGTCGAGGCCTGTTGGGGACGCGGCGAGGCATTGTGGTTAGCTGCGATATCTCGACTGGCGCGGGCGGCATGGGTGGCGAGCTTACCCCAGCATACCAGGCCAAGCGCATTGTGATGGCGTCTGCTGTGGCGTCTGGTGAGTTGGGCACGACCTGCACAATCAATGGCGGCGGCTGAGAGAGCGTGCGAGTGTCGGCAGCAGGGGCAGCGTCAGGAGCCCATTTTTTCTAGTGACGGGCGGCGGGAGGTGTTTGTGGCCGGCCGAAGGTTGGAGCTTTGGTGGTTGCGCCTTTGGTGGTTGATGTTGATGCCACGTTTGAAAGCTCGAGATGACGCACCTGTCGCCCAATCGGGAAGGTAGCGCACGTGATAGCTCCTGCAAGCTCCGTGTGAATTCGTGATGTGCCGAGCTGAGTCAAGCGGAGTCAAGTGGGGCTATGATTCGTTGGTTCGTGTGTTGGGCATGCAGAAGAGATGAAGCGTGCAGCAACAAAAGGTCAATTAAATATTAAATGGCTAGCGAAATGGTTGGAAATGATGGACCGACAAAGAGCCCTGGTCATGTAGAGTGAAGTTGAGGTTATTCCAGACCATCTCAGTCTACCATCTCAGCCCATCTCGACAACCCCTCCCAACCTCCGTCATCCCCGTCGCCCCTCCATCACAGCCCCCTCCATCTCGGCCACATCAAGGCGATGAGCGGGTCTCGGGCAATTGCACGTGGGCCGAAGTGACGGCCAACGTGGGAGAGAGAGCGCGAGGTCGGATGCCCGCCGTGCTGTCGACGCTGTCAGCCGGAACAATAACAAAGAAAGGGCTTGGGAACCGTTTGCCTAAAACTCCTCCTTACACCATCACTCTGTCTTCAGCCTGAATTCCCCTCCTCCATAGACAAAATAGACAACCCATCTGCCGGGCCGGCCTTATCTCGGAATACGGCATTGCCGAGGTCCATCCCGATTCCGAGCCTCCGCTTCCGCTCCGCTTCCGCCACCATGGCAACCTCACTCCCGGCCATCGTCACCCCGGCCCTGCTGGCCACCATCCGCAAGCAGCCGAACCTGCCCCGGAACACTTGGTATTTTGTAACTGCCACTACACTGACTGTGCTCAACCGCCCAGATGAGATCGCCACCGTCTACAAGCACGCCCTGGAGGCACCAGACGTCGGTCCCGGTTCCTGTCCGCCGTCTCCCGAGGAGCAGCTGAGCATATCCCGCCGCATCCGGGAGGCCCTTGTCAAGACGGCCGCCATTGGTGGCCTGCCCAAGGTAAGTTGTCCTTCCCAAGCCGCACCGAAACAACAGAAACACTACTAACAGCAAATAAATAAATAAAAAAGACCATCAACGCGCTGATGGAGCTCAAGAAGCACACGCCGCCGCAACTCGTCGACGAGCCGCTGGGGTACTCGCCCACGTCGCGCGCCGTCGAGATGTACGACGTGCCGTCGTCGCAGATCCTGCACCGCGGCCAGCACTTCTTCGACATGGTCTACGGCAAGGTCTCGAAGCGCGTCATGGGCCAGATGGACCGCTCCGGCACCGAGGACCTCGGCCTGACCGCCCGCCTCGTCTACGGCTACCTGCTGAGCAACACGGCCGTCCTGACCCCGGCCGAGACGTCCTTTGTGCTCATCGCCGGCCTGGTGCCGCAGGATGTAAGTGTCCTTTTTTTTTTTTGGAGCATCCGCCAGGAGAGGGCACACAAAAATGGGACTGACCACGGGCAAAACCGCAGGTCAACCCGCAACTCAAGGGCCACCTCAAGGGCGCGCTCAACGGCGGCGCCACGGTTGAGGAGGTCAGGGCTGTGAGGAACGTCGCCATGACCATCTGCGAGGCGTCCGGCATGAAGCTGCTCGACTCCGCGTCCCAGGGCGGCTGGGGCTGGCGGAGCGATCCCGCTACCCTGTAAGCGGAATCGGGCCCGGGCAGTCGGGAACTGCAAGCCGCGAGACTAGGACGAGCGGGCACGAGTTGGTGCCCCCCAGGCCTTCCCTCGCCCGCCTCCAACACCCAATGGAGACTAGGGGAGGGGACAACGTGTGCAGACGCCGAGTCAGCTGGAGTCTGGACTCGCCCTCCCGGCGCAACGGGAGGGGGCGGTCTGTCGGGTGGCGGTTAGCGAGGGAGGGAAATGGGAGGGTGGCTTTGCCACACAAGTCGAGCTAGAGCGGTCCACGCACATAGCCTTGCCTTTTTTTCTTTCCTTCTTTTCTTCTCTGGGTATCTCGTAAGTCCAGGGCGTCTGCGCCCTTCCTTCCCCGGAAGGAGGCGGGGCTCGCGCAAAGGCCCCCGGCTGATCCACCGAGATTGATATCCGGGAAGGGCCTAGATCGCGTCGAGTGGGGGGGGCGAGAGTGCCCCTCGAGGTGGCTAGCGGGAATGTCCATGTAGCACCTCGGCGATATCATGATGATGATGTGAACAAACCGGCCCCCGTCACACCCGAGAGACGTGAAGAGGGTGGGGTGTTTTCTTTACTTGTCTCGATATCACATATGCGTGTTGAAGCAAGAAGCCCATTTTTCGTGTCCTGCATAACCAGAGAGCCGGACCTGAGATGAGCGGCAATGCACAAGATACCGTGAAGGGAATAAACAAGCGAGCTATAAAAGGAGGATAAAAAAAGAAACACACGGGGAGATGAGAGAACGGCAAGTAGGAGCATGAAACCGGACGCCTCACCGGTCCCGAGACCCAGACTACCGGCGCGTCCCTCTCCTTCCCGTGGGTCTGGGCACACTCGCACTCATTCGTCCCTCCTTCCCAACGAGCCGGCTCATCATAACACAAGACGCCCACCACGAGGCTGGCTGGGGAGGAGGCTTTTTTTCCCAGGCCCAATGGGTATCGCACTCCCCCTCCTTCTCGGCTCGCATGTAAAACTCGCATGTTGGGGCGTCCGCTAGCTTTCCGGCTAGGGATGTGCCATCGAGGGGCGGGCACACACACAGCGCATGCATGCACATACACACACAAGCAAACAGACAAAAGGACTCTGGCGAGGAAACGGGCGAACCATATCAGTCGGATGGGATAACGCACTCGCCGGGGGGGGAGGGTGGGTGGGTGGGTGCGGCGGACAGGGCAAGGCTAGCACGCTAGGCAAGGCAGGGCAAGGCGAGGCAGGGGGGCGCGCGCATCGTGGATGCTTCACAGCGTACGGCCGTGCAAGGGGGCGGTAGAGGAGGGGCGTTTATGTTGATCCCCGACAGGGCTCGAGAGAGGAGGGGCCAATCCGGGACCCCCGCGCGACGCTTGGTGGTGGGGATCCTTCCCTTGAGTCGGGCTGGCTGGGTGAAAGGGAGAGGAAGCATGGGGGATTTTGGTCTTCGTTTTGTCCCAAAGAAGGAAGTTTGGGAGACCCGAGACCGAGGGGTTGGTCGTGTGGGAGTGGGAGTGTGTGTTGGAAGGGATAAGCGCGTGGAGGAGAAAAAAAAAAGCATATTGCGCACTCCTTCACTGGCCTTGCCGACAGAGCCGCACGTCCATCACAAACTCCGGCTAGGGGGGATGAGGTTTACCGCAAAGGATCACTCGGCGAGGAGAGGGAGGGTTTTGGTGATCACCTATCAGAAAACCTCTCCCCTGAACGCGGACTCCGGGGAGATCATGGACATGAGGTCACCGGTCCAACTTTCCAGTGGCCTGCGGGATAGAGATCGGCCGATGGGGGTTCCAGAGGGCCAATATCCAGCACACATTCGCCACGCCGAGCACTCGCGGAAACCAATATTCTGTCGAGCTCTGTCCGGTTTGGGGGAGGCGGCCCGGGTCCAAGCACCGCCCATGTGAATCGACGGGGGTTTTTCTGTCTTGTCGACTCATGACGGCATCAAACAGGGTTGGGCAAACAAGAGCAGGAGACATCACCGCCCACGTGGGAAAGAAACAGCGTCAAACCCGAAAGGCGTCTCAAGACCCTCCACAGGGAGACGTTTGCCGTCACAACCACCCCTGAGGATGGAAGCAAAACAAACAAATTCCAAGAGAGAAACACAATACCAAGACGCTTGGTGGTGAGCTATGTCTTTGCTTCTTGCTGCTCTGCCCGCCACCAGCAAAGCAAAGACAACAAAAAAAAAAGAAAAAAAACGTGCAACGAAAAACACACGCATAAACACCATGGTTCACCCGCTAGAGGCCGTTCAACCGCACGCCCAAGGGGGAAAGGGAAGGGCTTCACACGGACGATCTGGTGCCTGGATAGGAATATCGCGATAACGAATGTCCTTCCGAATCCAGGCTGGCGCCGCTCTTCCCTCAGCGCCACGCCCGCCGCCTGGCCGGTGTGCGAGTGTGCGTGCGTGTGTGCGTCCGAAGCATGAGTGGTGAGTACACAGCAGGTGTGTGTATGTGTGTGTGTATTGTGCCACTGACACTGCCCTGAGCCTAGCCCGACATGCTTTAGCTAGTCGGGTACCTAGCTCCCTCCCTACGTGAGTAGGTCGGCTAGTGCCCTTCTTTCCTCTCCCCTCCCCCCTGCGTGCAAGGGAAAGAGTGGGCTTTCTTTGGTCCCGCCTCTCCGCAAGGCGCGAGACGAGAAAAAGAAGAGAGAAAAAAAAGAGGCGGGTGGCATCCAGAGTGCCAGGCAGGCGAGCCAGTTCACTGGATGGGCTCCTCCCGCAAGGGGAGGGAGGGGTGGTGGGAACTGGGGGCCTCGGATGATCTCCAGTGCGCTACGGGAGACGCTGAGGCGCATCCGAGATTGCCCTGGGCATCGGCATCGAGATGGGATTTGCTTGTTGTGTTGCTGTGTGATGTGTTTGGTGGGAAGCAGGGAACAAGAAAGCACACGCCCCCCTTTATTTTGGGACAGGTGGTTGATGATTTGCTGTCTTTGGTAGCTGGAAGGACGGGAAGTATTGTCTATGATCCCTGGCAGAGCCTAGGCAGAGATGGGCTTGCCCAAGTGCCCTGGTCCGGCTCTGGGGGAATATTGGTGTTTTCCTTTTTGCTGTGACGAGGGTTGGATAGGTAGGTGTACAGGGTCTGAGGGTGTACTGGATACTGGATGTACCTCTGTACTTGGCAGGTTCACAATATGCCCGCCCCCCATTTGACGGCTGGCACGGGACAGGCCAGCATCGCTTGGCCCTGAAGATCCCTCGTCCTGGTCCCTCCCCAAGCCGCAACAGGGAATCCTCCGGGGCGGGGGACCGGCGCGGTTACATAGCACGTCTCGCGGTGGGCCGTGGCGCGCTAGCCTGTTCGGGAGCTGTTAAGCGTGGAGCGTCGTATTGGGGCAAGCCCTTTCGGCATCTCGAGGAACCGTCGTGTCGGGAGGGGGATCGACTGATTTGCGCCTGGGGAGGGGTGTGTGTTTTGTGGGATGGGAGGAGAGTGGGTCTTGTAGCTACTTTGTTCACACGGTAAAGTGAAGGAGAAAAAGCAAAAATGCCATGCAGGAGGATTCAAAATGAGAAGGGGAGGAGAGAAAAAAAAACATGAGCCTTTGGGCTTGCTGACGATGCGATCAAGTGACTTGAGATTTGACACTGGTTCTTGGAGCAGGGAATACTTGGAGCAGGAAACTCGATGGCCTGAGTCTCAGCAACCACCACAGCGGGGTTTTCCGCTGGGGGTTCATGATTGGGTTCATGATTGAGTTCATGACCGATGTCCACGTTCCCAATCTTCGGGTCCAAGCTCGCTGTGGCTGCCTGGCCTCGTCCCTTGTCCTCACCTCCAGTTCTCCAGTTGTGGGATCACAAGCACACCCCCATAAAAATCGACAGGGTCTCGCCAGGCCGTTTCAATACCAGCGTTCCCCTTGCAAATAGTAATCCATCCACGGTGAATCCGTCTCGCGTTTTTTACGCTTATCGTCAGAATTACTAGTTGGCTTTGGTCAACACGATGGTAACAAGGGAGGAGACCAAGAGATAAAATTAAACCCTAATTAAAGCAGCACATAGGGCGTGTGACGAAGGAGGCCGCCAGCGGCAACCTAAACAGCAACCACGGGGTTTTCCGTCCCCGCGCGCGCCGCCAGGCCACCCACGATGAGTGACAATGACCTTCGGGATAAGGCCTATTCTGGCTAGACCGGGGCGTTTTTTGAGTCGGTTCAGGGGTCCTCCTGCCACAGAGGCCATCTCGTCTTATCGTGATGTTGAGCAGCGGAGCAGTTCCTCCACTAACCTGCTCAACTGAAATCAAATAAATAAAAAAAAGAACAAAAAAAAAAAGAATGAGCCCTAACCGGCTGGCTGGCTCCGCTAAGCACCCTTGGAGGATGGAATTTGCCGCTGTAGCACCAAGCAAAAGGAGACGCCCACACGCCCAATCCGAGGCGGCGGTTTACCTCCAGCCTGCGTGCCACCAGAGCTTGGCCCAACGGGCGCGGTACCAATGGCTCGGGCTCCGGGCTTGTCACTGACGGGCTGGGTGCTAGTGTTCGGCAGAAGAGACCAAGGAACTATAGAGAAGAAGGAGGAGGAGGAGGGGGGGTTGGAACTGGTCTGGACTTGGTGACGCGCACGCCGCCTCCGCGTCCGTCTTCCCTTGGACCCAAAGGGTGCTGGCGCCGCCTCTTTTTTTCTTCTCTCTCTCTCTCTCTCTCTCTCTCTCTCTCTCAACAGACCTGGCGGGCGGGCGGCTGCGAGACGGCGGACCCTAGGCTTCGCCGCCTCTCCCCTCGCCCCCTTTCTCCTAGGAGGGACCTTGCAGCATGCATCAACAATCCCAGTGCTTTGGAACGCGCTGTTTTTTTTGTTTTTTTTTTTTTTCAGGGTCTAGACCAGCCACCGGTCCGCCGGTGTGGTTAGTGTCGATGGTGCTAGTCGGGGCGGAAGCGGTTGACGTGGACATGATGGGAACTGCCGGGCCACGTAGGGCGAGAAAAAGAAACGACGAAGGGGAGGGAGAGAGAGAAAGAAAAAAAAAAAGCAAAGAGAGATGAAGGTGGGTAAGCAGGTCGGTCGGTATCAACTGCAAAACTTGGATATGCATCCCCGGGTAGAGTCGACCAAGGTTCCGGAGAAAAGTGGTTGGCCCATGACGATATGCGTGGCCGAGCTGGCATCACGAGGTTCAATACTCGTCCCAAGCATACCCCCTCTCCTGTGTTGTTGTCTTGGAAATGGGCAGACGAGGAATCACACCACGGACATGAAGGCACCGTATGGCACTCAACCGCCTCGTATACCAAAACAGGGTCAGCATCACGAGCTCCGAGCCATGATCGGGGGACACACACAGAGCGGTCTGGACCCAGGAAGAGATGAGTGGTGTGGTGGTTGTATGCGCGTGCAAAAAGCAACAAAAAAAAAGTAAAGAAACATGCATGCATGGAGTGATTGTGGCAGTCAGTCCTGCACCTCGGTCACCTCCCGCCGTGAGCAAAAGGGGCTCCTGTCATAGGCCGCCTCGCGAGGTATGCGGGTTGGCGGGGATTCGGTGCCGGGTCGACGACCATGCCTTCTGGTCCAGGCATCTCTCTTCGGGGTGTCAATATCGGAGCTATAGCAATCGGAGCAGGGCGGAGAAACGACGGAATTCTCCTTTGGTGGTGTTTTTTTTTTTTTTTTTTGCTTCTGCTGCCAACAGATGGGCACGTCCTTGCATCAAAACCCACCCTGGCCGTTTTGTTCTAGACAGCGCGCCTGCTCTTGTCCATGGCAGACCATCTCCCCCTCCCCCCAGACTTGAGCCCTGGCCCTTGAAAAACGGGCCTGGCGGCGCCGATCACTTGCCCGCATAGGCAATCCAAAGCGAGCCGGATGCTTGGTCGCAGCAAAAGCGGGCTATTGGTTTTGTTTTGAACGCATCCAGCCAAGGGCCTTGTCGTTTTCTCGGCTCGTGGGCAAGGGTCGGGGTTTTTTTTTTTTTGCAGCGAGATATGGCGATTCGGTTTGTGATAATGCCCAAGCCCCCAGCCAAATTGACGATAAAAGCTTGGCATTCCACATCCTATATCCTATATTTAGCTCGCCCCGGGTTACATCGCCAACCAAGCAAACAGCTGTGCAATCTAGGCTGTGTCCCGGGATGCGAGCCGTGGGATTGCGAGGGCTGGTGTGTGTGGGTTTGGGTGCTGGTGGGTGATGTGAGTTCGCCCTCAAGTGGCAGCAAATACGGCATCTCCTCAGTGCGGGGTGGGGAGAGAGCGAGACAGAAAGAGCTCTGGCCCACGCTAAAGACACCCCCAACCCAGGGTTTGTTTAGCGAGCCTCGCTGGGAGCTTCACTCGCGAGACCTCGACCGCCTTTGCATGGTTGCTTTTTGGAAGGACATGCCAATCTCTGCTGGCAGGGACGTAGAAAGTGCGTGGTTTCTGTTTTTTTTTTTTTCTTCTCTTTTTTTTTCTGGTTTTTTTTTTTTCGCCTTCTCTGTGCTGGGTTTTGGACAGATATGCTTAGCTGCAAGTAGCGCTTCGAATTCAATGCTGTCCATCACCATGATGCGCACCACCAAGGCCAAGCACCCGTCGTCTGATTTCTCCAGCAACTACCGACGACGGCACGCGCTTATTTTTTTCAAATATTATTTTCGCAGAGGCCGCCCGGGGCGCCTGCGCATCACATAACAGAAATGACGAAAACCCTGCCCCAAGACTTCTCAGGATGGGGGTCAGCCTCTTCAGCCCTGACTAGGCTTCCCGAAACAGAAGAGGAATGACAGCGGGTCAAGTGCCCAGACAGAGAGGTCAGCAGAGCGGCAGGACCCAGCCGGACCCGATCCAAAAAGGCGGGAAACGCTAGGAAACAAGAAGTCGCTGGCAAACGTCCCCCTCTCGTCATCTAGACCGCAAGGGACAAACCGGCTGCGCCCCAAACACGCATGTCCCCATCCAACATCTCACACACACAAAGGTGGTGGTCGCATACATATGTGGCCGTACTAAGAGTGGCCGTACTTGGAGGAGGTGTGAGTGAAGAGTGCTTCTTGGGCCGATACCACCTTGATCGACACTGGGCCTACCAGTAGCTGCTTTGCTGCAAAAACAAGCCGCAAATCACCAAATCCCACCACATCTGACGCGGGGCCCGAAAGCCATGTTTCCCCCCACTAGTCCTCTCTTGCTCTGCATTGCATCACGCACCTCCCCCTCCCCTCCCATTCAGCTTGCCATCGCTGTTCCCATTTGGACGATTTGCGTCCGCTTCCGCAGTTAGTGGCGGGTTCTTTACACTGCCAGACCGATCTACCGCCACTTTGGTCGGCGAAGCAAGCCACCTTTTCCTGCTCCAGAGTAGCTCAAAGGCAGTGTCCTTGTTACCCGTTGCTGCTGCCAAGTCTAGGACGGGGCGTTCTGGCGACGGGTACTTTGGGCGCGGTGATCAGTGTCGGGTTGTGTCGTTCGGTGTTCAGTCTTGCCCACCGAGGCCCGCTCGGTCGCTCATCTTATCCAGGCTTTTTTTTTTTTGTTCTCCTCATGCCTGCGAGACGGGGCACCTGCCTTGCTGCTTGCTGCCTTGGCTCGAAGGGAGGGGAGCAGCATCACCGCAGCGGGCAGGCGGTGCTATCACATGGCATCCATGGCATGGATCATCGTCGTCGGGATATTCCCCAAGCCCACACCGTCACCGTGCACGACTCCATTCCCCGAAAGGGATAAGCTAACCCAGGCATATGTGTGTGAGAGGCGGCCGGTACCGGCAGCCGTGCCACCACACAAAAAAAAAAAAAAAAAGCACACAGGAAATTGCGGACGTGATATCCGGGAACCACGCCCCCCCTTCCTCCTCCAAGACATTGAACACGGGCACTTTTTTGTTTTTGTTTTTGTCTCCCCGCACTATATGCGCGCGACCGAACTTTGAGCACCGCAGAATACGGGAGGGATGGCAGCAGCAGGATTGGCCCGGGTCGCGACGTCCATGCCTTGTTGGACCACGATGGCGGGGGTGAGGTAAATTACACGCAACAGGTGATGGTGACAAGGACAGAGATGAAGAAGGCTGGGACCCGCAGGCGAGAGGGAGGAGCAAAAAAAAAATTTAAAAAAAAAAGGTAAAATCTTATTTTAGAAAGCCGCCAAATTGCGCCTCCGCCATTGCCGAACCCTGGGCAAATATCGTCGACAAGGGACATGTTCCGCCTCAATTTCCAGTGAGCCCTTTCTTCTTCCATCTCTCCTCTCCCTGTCAACCGAAACAAGGTCGCCCTCAAAAAAAGAAACAAGACGGGTGCTCTGCGTCCGTAAAGCCCTCTCTCTCACTCTCTCTCTCGCTCTCTGAATGGCGGGGCTCATGGAAGGGGGATGGATACTTTTGTTGACACGTCGATTGCTGACCATTCGGCCCACGCCAATGGCACCGCATTCGTAGTCGGTCTTGGGTATATCGTCAGTCGAGTATATGCCCGACTGCGACGCTCCCGGACGAGCCAGTCAAACAAGTTAAAGCATGGGTGACGTGAAGGAAGAAAAAGTAAGCAGCATCTACGAATTACTGTATTGGGACGGGAGGGTAGGGAAGGAAGGGTAAGGGGAGAAAGAGTGAGAGACGACACACACACACGCACGCAAAAGCGATAACAGTTCCTGGCTATAGCCCTGCTCGCCCGCTCATTGGGCGGGCCGGCCATATGCACACTGCAGTCGTCCGTCTGACGCAGCGAAACGTTACTGGGTCCCTGGTCATTGTGCTGCCTGAAGAGGAGCCCTCAACCTTTTACCACCTTTACCCATCCATTCTGTTTGATGGCCGCTCTAGATCCCGCCAATGAAAAGCCTCCGAGATGCTCGGGGCCGCCGAACCGTGCCTCCAGTAGGAGGAGGAGGAGGGGGGGGGGGGGGGGAGGGGGTCGAAGTGGAGGTTG